TGGTTCCAGCTCGCCGCATGTACGCATGTACGCACTGGTTCTTGCACCTTGCAGCAACTGTGGAGGCCCTTTGTGCAAGGGCACATTCTCTACGGTTGAGACATTTTATCTCTGCAGAGCGATGAGATCGCCGACATTGATTTATTTACGATAAAAATACGAAAAAAATACGATTGAGAAATACGACTCCAATAAATGGGAATTTCCAAAATACGGAAAAAATACAATAAAAAAATAGAGAAATGAGGCACATGACTTGGCTTCCAGCCTAGCTGTAGTGACTGTAGTGTACACGGTAGTGGCGGTGGTTGGGTCCGTATGACGTTGATCACTGATCAGGCACTGATCAACCCCCGGTCCGGTTACCTATGTCGACCTATGTGCTCAGTTTGACTTTAAAATACTAGAGAGCCCACTATGCTTAATCCGGAAGTGACCCTGATACTTTGGCCTTTTTTGGGGGAAGTAAGACAGAGTCCTGAGTCTAGAGGTCAGGTTTTGGGGAGGAAAAGACGAGGGTCGGATTTGGTCGGGGCTCCCATCTAGCAGATCTAGCAGCACGAAATCTAAGATTTTGTCAGTTTTATATGGGAGACGAAACCACGTATGAGCTTCAAACATTAGTCTGGCCAGGCCTGGAACAGCGCTGCAAACCTTTTGTGGCTTGGGGTCCAAACGGCCCTGCTTCTGTGATGGAAACCCTCAAAACCTTGATATGTCAAGTCCCAAAAATTTTGGTCACTCTAGTAAGCCATTCCAATTACCTCGGTCCTAGAGTCCTAGATTCAAGCCGTAAATTCCTAGATTCCTAGATCTCATAGAGCTATTATAATTTTAGCTGATGTCGTCGTAGAGTCGTAGAGTTTAGACGTTGTACACTTTGCAAGAGAGGATTCGTTGCTTTTCAGGAGCGATCCGTCGGTGGAACTCCCAACTTGAAGCAAGGATAACCAGTCACGAAACATGTCGGCATTTTACTCAGCAGCAGAAGGCATATCAGGATTTTGCAAGTTTGAACGCGCTCATATATTTCAATATACATGACTTTGTTGGCGTGTTTTCAGCTTTGTTCGAGTTATTTCGCTTTGTTGAGACAGCCTAAACAGCTTGAGGAGATGTTGGTGCTTTTGTTTGAACATGCCGCAATTGGGCAGCCCCCAGAAGGAAAACACTGACAGCCTTGTTGAAAGCTGAATCCGGCAGATCCTTATTTTAATTACCGGCCTTTATACTGGGGCCATGGTTTCTCGCCTGCCACCTGCCTGCCTCCTGCCACAGAAATATGCTGACGACGTCGCAAAGTAATGAGCCCCGGCCAAGTAGCAAACACAATGCCCCCGAAAGTATCAATTTAGCTTGCCGTGTCAGAGTAGTCCAGAATCTAGAATCTAGAGTCTAGAGAATCTAGAGAATCTCGAGTCTAGAGTCTAGTCAGAGTCTAGTCTAGAGTAGAGTCTAGAGTCTAGAGTCGTCGATAGTTCTGAATCTAGAGTCTAGAGTCGGCCTTTAGGGTATTCGAGTGTCTAGTCCGCAGTTCCAGATTCTAGGATTTGTAGGTTCTAGAGTTCTAGAGTCTAGAGTTTAGAGCTGGAGCATGCACAAAGCTTGTGATTCAAACCTCGCCTGCGTCGCTGCTTGACATTTTTTGCTTTGCAGTTGGTTTTGGACAATGACGAAGGAATTTTGCTGCGCTTCTTGTGCCCACAGCCCATCGAGGGAAGCAAATCATGGCATCTTTATCATTAGCAGTAACAGCAGTAGCAGTAGCAGCAATCATTAGCAGGGACATCTTGGTGTCCAAGCATGCACTGGGCAGGGACTGTATGTCATATGTGTCACCAGGAAGTTCATCGGTAAGCGCTTGAACCTGCTGCGGAATCGCTTCTCACCATTTTAGGGCTAGTCGTGTGACTTCGTCTTTTGCAGCCATGGGTTGGGGACACGTCGCGTCTGACTTGTGCGAGGCGCAAGGTGCAAGTGGTCCTGCTTCTAAGTGGGCAGTGGTGGCCGAAGATGTTTGTCTTTCCCAGGAGTCTAGTGACAGTCTGATGGAAGAAGCAGATGCACTTTGTGAAAATTCCGATGATGATACGTTGCTGATTCCCGAACCACGGCCTGGGTATGCTGAGAAAACATGGTGGGCACGGCAGCTGGAGCAACATGCACTGGCACTAGGCTACAAAGTCTCGTACGACAGTGCGAAGCCGCTTCAGTTGGTTTCTTGCTGCAGCGGGGCGTGCACGGAAGCGACAGCGCTCAAGGACTTCAGTTATTCCGAGCAACTAATTATTCAATCACTCAGTCTGTTGCTTTTCTGTGCAGTTGGCTCTTGCATTCGCAGAGTCCTAGGGTCCTAGAGTCCGAGAGTCCTAGCGGTACGGATCCTGCCGGTCGTAAAGTGTCACTGTTAGACTAGTGACTAGGCCCTAGGCTCTTGGACGTTGATTGGTCAGAAGTCACCAGTCCCAAACATCAGCCGCATGTCAATCAGGATTGGGGCAAATTTGCGAGTCTAAACTCGCAACGAAACCACAGTACTGTTAACCTGCACTGACAACAACGGAAGCAAAAACCAAGCCTATTTAGGCCTATCTCCCATGTCGGACAAGTGCATCTGTTCAGGAGTTGGGCATTCGTTTTGAATGCCTGTCGACGTCAGAGCCGGACTCAGCCTTCCGCAGCTTTCAAGCTGCCAACCATGCGATCAGGAAGCAATACACGAGTCTTGAGATGCAAGTTTCTGACTGCAAGTCGTCGTGCTCTGAAGATGTTGATCTCCTGGTTTGTGGCAGTCCGTGCAACCCTTTCAGTAAGATGAGAGGCAAGCGCTTCCATGTTGACAGTGTCATGCATCACAAGAGTTACAGTACGACGTTCGTGGAGGCTTACCAGGCTTTCGAGGCTTTCGAGCCAAAGACTGCAGTGATGGAGCAGACTGCAGGGTTCGGATTGCCTTTTGATTGCTCGACTGCAGAGACACCATTGCAGAGGCGGGGCAAGCAAAGTTTGTCGTGCAGTAGATTCAGTAGCTGCTCAGTAGATTCAGTGTAGACAGGTCAATTGGTTTCCGTTCTGTGCATGCCTTATTGCTGGCAGCTGCTGTTTGTTAGATGGTTAAGACTTAGAATACTTAGAATGTAGATATTGGCACAAAAGTCCTGGGTCCTGCAAGCCCTAACTCCAAGTAGTAACATAGCTAGCAGCTAGCAGCTAGCTAGCAGCTAGCAGCTAGTATCTGGTGACTTCCTAGTCCTAGTAACTGCGTAGTCACGTAGTCATAGTCACTAGTCACTAGTCACTACTAGTAACAATTCATTGCTGCTGAACGAGTCATGGCCGTCGCTACCAGCGTTATTGTCTTGGTTAGTTATTATTAGCTAGTAAAGTCGGTCCTCAAATCGGGTTCTCACATGCCGTGTGCGGTTTTGTTTCGCTTGTGTCTCCGTGCTGCCACTTCCAAAGCTGTCGGGTTAGGGGGATTGTTTGGAGAATCGGGCTTAAGATGGGCTTAAGGGCTTCGGTTACGGCGTTTATATTGCAGCGAGCCGGGGGCTGATTCTAGATTCTAGATTCGAGATGCAATTGTCCTAGAGTCCTAGAATAGTGAACAATACCTAGTAGTGACTCTAGTGACTCTAGTGATTCTAGTGAGCTTTGGTTGCAGCAGTTGGAAGGTACCGGGGAGTTTATCGCCCACCAGCATCACATCACATCATCTTTCAAACTCCTTTCAGATCCACAGTGTCAAAATGCTCGTATCCCGGGATTGACCGTTGGCGCCTGCAGGTTTCAAGTAGCTCGAGTAGGTTTGTACGTCGTAAGTGCAATACCTTCTCGTCACCCTTGGAACTTGATGAATCTTGAGGATTGCTTCGCCATGGTTTAACCGTTGAGCCGTCCCTAGGCCCCAGGCCCTAAGGCCCTAGGCCCTAGTGGCCCTAGTCACCCCAGTGCCCTAGTGACTCGTGCCCTAGTGACCTAGTGGCCCTAGTGGCCCTAGTGACCCTACTAACCTACCTGGCCCTAGTGACCTACCTGGCCCATTTCCTTAACTTGCGCGAGGTTCATCGATGGCTTCAGTGACTGCAAGTTCACCAAGGCTGGATACTGGATCGTTGTCATCAAGTGCGAGCTCTCGATCTGGGTGAAGCTTGCCCGGAGCAGGCCGGGCGTCCGAGGTGCTTTGCAGTTTGACTGGCCGTTTTGCGGCTAGCGGCTAGAGGCTAGTGGCTAGAGTCTAGAGGCGGCTGGAGGAAAGAGCGGCTAGACTGCTAGACTAGAATGGCTAGGGTCAGCTCCAGGCTCCAGGACTATAGGCTTAAACTTTAGAGTTTAGAGTCTAGTAGAGGTTATGGATTCCAGAGCGAGCCAACTGATATAGAGCCACAGATTCCCATAGATTAAATTCAGATTTCAGGTCACTAGGTCCTCGGTGTTCCTGTACCCGTAGCCGTGGCCTGCTCCCCCGGTTGCCGAATCATCGTCGTCGGAGTCGTTGCAAGGGCACTGCGGATCAGATTTTCTTGCTGCAGCATTGTCAGATCGCAGTATTCCATTCGATTCCATTCATCGGACAGCTTACTCACACCTCCAGGCTGAAGCCCTTCCAGTCCTAAAGTTTCTGAAGCCTAGGGCCTAGGGTTTAGGGCTCCGGGAATGTTTGTCAGACAAACGAGTAATGAGATTCTAGAATCCGAGAAGCTGAGTAGAACAAGGATTACAAACATGCAGAGTCGTGGAGGTCAGAGTGCGAGGACCTAGTTCCACCAACAGCTTCAAGCCGTAAGAACTTTAGTGACTTTAGTGACTTCAGTGATGTTGGATGGTCGTTTTTGGATCTATGCAAATGATGCTGGTTCGTGCGGTGTGGCATGGGTTGGGATGCCGTTGCCGATGCCATCGACTCAGATAATGAAGTGGACATAGCAGCTGCAAATGTCACGGCACAGCCGTCGGTGGTGCTTCCAGCTTCTTCAGGAAATGTTGTGAGTGGTGTATCGGCCGGCCGTCCCAGAGGCAGTGTTCTGATCCGAGCAGACATCGCTGCTCAAGAAGAGCAGTTGGAAAGGCTTAGGGCGGCAAGACAACCTGAACTCGATGCAGATGCTGTTTTGGCAATTCAGGTGGAAGACCGATTTTCTGCTTTGCAGGTTTTAACCCAGGATGCGACCCCGATTCAAAGAAGATTATGCCTGCATGTGGACCAACAGCTGGCCAAACAGTCCTTGCCAGACATGCCAAACCCCGTGGTGCAGGTCATGAACACATCGTCCAATGTGAGTTCATGGGCAATCAAAGCTTTGGAAGCAAACAAGCAGTACCAGTATGTACAGCAGGACTATTTTCGAACAGCAGAAGCTATGTTGCAAGCCTCTGGGTTCTTGTGGTCTGTGCAACTGCAGAGACTGCAGAAGATGGCAAGTCAGGGCTTTGAGATTTTGGCAGTGCTCCGTAAAAGACGCTACGACGAGAGTCCTTTCAACTTGCGCTTGAAAGAGGAAAACGTGCCAGCCCAGTCTGAAACTTCGCCACCTTTGTTGCAGCAACCTGCCAGAACAACTCCTGGGAAAGCCAAAGTCATGCAGTCCGAGTTCGGCATTGTGGTCTTGCTTCGACGCTGTGTTGAAGGCGACAAGTACGAGTACCAGGAGGTTCATGGCTCCTGTCCTACGTGGCTCCATGTGCTGGACAAAACAACGAAGGAGAATATCGCTGAGAGCCAGCGGCAGATCCAGAGCTTGATTCAGATACCTGAAAGTCTAAAAGAAAGCTCTAGGCTGCTGTGCGACATGACCACTTCGGATCGGTACGCTGTGAACATTGCAGCAGAGAAGTGCCTTCAGAGCGAGGCACCCGAGTGGGTCAAGTGTCAGCACTTTTGCCTTCTTCATAAGGCTGCAGCAGTACAATCTGCACAATTCCGATTGGTGGCCGGACATGTCAGTGGCCTTTTGTCGCTCAGCCTCTCGATGGCTCCAGCTGGTACTACGGCCGAGTTGAAGAAGATCCTGTGCCGTATCCTGACCGAGAGGCTGACTGTAAGGCATGGAGATCCGCCACCTCATGCTCGCCGTCACCAAGAGGCACTTCATGAGTTATTTCTGCCTGTGGGTTCTGAGACTCAGAAATCGTTGCTTCATCAGAAGCAAAGAGCCATCTTGAGTTCTCTGATGAATGGTGATTTGCAGGATGAGTCGACGATCACCTATTGGGCGGCCAATCCTGCGGTGACCAAGGACTCAATCTTGCAGTCCTGGGTCCGACATGTCGCTGCAGCCCTTCTACCGCACAAGATCCCGTTCTTCAACAGGAGCAAGTGGTTGGGAGGCGAGGATGCGATTTCGTGGGTGGGGTTGCTGAGTACGCACCATGGGCTTCTGGTGCCACTGGTTCAGACATGGGCGCAGTCTACAGGCATTCCTGCAGTCATTGGGCTGGCTCCGAGGTCTCGTGCTTCTGCAGAAGTCACCGAAAGTTCCTTTCTTCTTCATCAATTTCTGAGCGCAAATAAGACTAAATAAGATCAACTTTTCCAGATTTCAGATTTCTGATAGGTTTTTGATAGATTCTGATCAACTGATAAACCATACATATACCAAGCCAAAAAGGAAAGTTTAGAGTTCTCCCATTGGCTGCTCGGCTACTCATCCCAAGGTTCCCAAGGGTGGGCTGCGGTGGCAGATGGCATAGGCCCAGGCCCTCGCCCGGTCGCAAACACATCTGCTGACTCTGCTTTCGATGCTGTTGACTTAGATGTGCCTGAAGACTTGGGCACTGCAGCAGATGAGACGCTCCCCGAGACCGAGACAAACCCAGATATCTCGTGGGCCGAGTTCAACAAAATGAACCGACGCAAGGCCCTAGCGTGGGTAATGTCTGGGCCTGCTGGAGTGCTTGTGTGCATGAGAGTATGCATGAAAGCTTCCCTGCATTTGCTGTATACACTGGTGCATCTGGCATCGGTGGCTTTTGTGCAAGAGCAGATGGAGAAATCGAGCAAGGGCCAGCAAAGGCTGCACCGAGTCGTGGAGTTTTTCTCAGGCAAGCTACAGACTGTTTTCATGAAGCATATTCTTGAGACATTGTCTTCATGTCTGCCAGGGCTACCAGATGATGCTCACACGGATGCTATGCGATCGTTGGCCTTCCGAATGTTGTCTGTCAGCTTGTGTTCTGCGCAGCAGCTGATCTGGAGCATCGGCTCTGGATCTCCATTCGTCCTTTTTCGCACATTAGCTGCCGGTGTGGACGAGCTTTTCCAACTGCCCAAATGTTTGTACGATGAGCTCACACACTACTTCATGGCTTCCTTTCCTGAGCCTGCAGATTTCCAAGGAGAACTTGCCCAGCAAATGCTGCAGGTGCTGGCCCAGCATTTTCAGCTTGACATACTAGATTTGGAAAGAAACCACAGTACGATCCGCAGGAACATTCTGAGCAAGTCCATGCATACTTGGGTCACGAATTATGCATGTGCCAATGCACATTGGGTTGTTCGTCGGGTTGCCTTACTTCGAAAGCCATTTCGCCAGCAACCCAAGCAGCCCAAAAAAGTCGGCAGGCCAAAAAAACCCGCAGATCGAAACAAGGTGGCGGAATTTGGAGAGCTTGGCTGCACCTCAAAGCCCGAACTGGGGGTTCTCGGTGGACTAAGCGATCTATGGCAGCCTTGAGCCGAGAGTTCCATGCTGCGAAAGCGGCTGGAAATGCGGATTATGAGCAGGCCAAGAATTTGGGTGTGCTTGGACAGATGGCTCACAGGGCAGACAAGAGAAGTTTTACACAACCTGAAGGCCGTGCCAGACGGGCGAGACTAGCCAGAGAACAAGCAGCGGAAGCTGTGGCCCGCTCAAGCCAAGCCTGTGCAGAGGCAATCGCAAACGTTGCGAATGGTCAGGAACTTGACAACGAGCTCCAATTGCAGCTCTCAGCGATCGCTTCTGCGAGCAGGGCAAGCACCAAGCACAAAAATATGGAGGCTCAAGCGATCGATGCTGCAGTCGCTGCGGCTTCTGAAGCTCTGGAGCCTTGTCACGCAGAGTCTGGCTTGGCCCGAGGAGATCCCATTTCCCAGCAGGTCGGGAAGGCTTTCGTTTTCACACCGGGGCAGCCTGCCGTTGCTGAGTTCTTCGTTCCAGCTGACAGCTTTTCCCAGGAGTGGGTTGGGTTAAACGGCACGACCCGTATGAATTAGGCCAGGTCCATTCAGATACTACATTATGATAGTGTCTGATAGTAAATAACAGTCAGTAGTACTGAATGCGGCGGCGTAATAGTGATATTGGCTATTGATGGCATATATTCATGTAGTGAACTTTATATATGTTGACAAACTCTCTAGGCCCCGCTTGCTGCTCCAAATCTTAAGCTGTAGTCCTGGTCCTAGTCGTGAGACTGTAGGTTCAGGCCCTAGGCCCTAGCCCTAGGCTTCGTTACACCGTTTAACCGTTCAACCCTACTTCTTGGGTTTCAAGATGCGACACCAAGTTCGACATTGACTGAGACCTAGATTGCAAGATGTTGCTTCAACACTAGGTTACCAGAGTTACTAGGGCTTTAATGATTTTGGACTCGTGTGTTTTGTTAAAAATTACATATCGGTATTCTGGCCGCATCGATCCTGTGCGTGTGTTGTTCTTTTAGTTAGTTACTTCAGTTCTCGTCTCCTGGAAATCGTGCCGGTGTGATCCTATCGCTATGTCTATGTGGTTCCTGATGGCTTGTGAAACAGCTCAATACTTTGAGTGGTCAGTCTTACTGCGAATCCCAATTCCTTGTTTGATGTGCTATGGCTATGGCGGCTACGGGTTTGATTGTATGGTTTTGCTTGAGGAGCTGTTCAAGCCCACGTCCAAGCAGAACGAAGGACACGGAATGGGCTTGAATTCCGTGCTGGATGAAAGCTGGTCCAACAGATGCACATTGACGAAGCACAGTGATGCCCCAGTGTTGGATTTGACCCATGCTTTCAAGGTATCCGTGTGCTGTTCGCTGGGGTTCTGCGTTCATGCAGGCAAGGGCTTGCAAGCCTTCGCAATGCACACGAAGTTGTTCAAGTTGTTGCGGCCCTTTGTGCAAGCAGTGCGGCAGAAGCGACGAAAGCTCGGTGAGGCATTGGAACCATCTCAAACCAAACGCAAGAAGCCTGTGCACCCGGAAGCGAGAAAGCTTCTGGATCGGGCCATGCTCATTTTTCGGCTTCAGAATGGTGATCCTGACGTTGGAAGCTTCGGGTATGGGCAGCAACCTGAGGAACCCGAAGCAGACTGCACTTGGGGTTCGGTTGCAGACAAGATTCTGTTGGATGCAGGACAAACAGTGCCAGCAGCTTCGGAAACCCATTGGCTGCACGTTGGGTATGTCAATCATTCGACTCATGTTTTCAGTGTTACACCAATGACTTTGCTCGATTTCCAAAGCGCCGGCCATGTGGTGAAGCTGTCAGCTTTGCAGGAAGGAGAGGAAGGAGAGGACATTGTCCAGTCGTTGCGTTCCTTCGAGTTCTTCAAGGCAAACCTGGACCTGGAACAGGTTTGGAGATTGCGAGTCTTCAAGCTCCGGTCGACGAGGGAGATACTGACACAGACTGAGCTTTCACTGGCGCTTGTTCAAGCAACCCCATATGACGAGATTCCGGAGATGGTTGTTTGGCAGGGGTGGAAGGCCGAGCAAGCCAAGCCGCCGCCGCAACGTGGCAACCGTCCCAGAGGCCCAGGCGGGCATGCTCCGCGCCCTAGGCCCGCTAGGCCCGATAGGCCTTCTGGATCTGGCTCTGTGGTGCTTCCTGCTCCACCGGGTGCTGGTGCTTTCTCAGACCATGAGAGGGAGGAGAATGCAGTAGCCAATGAAGTCTTGCAAGAGGCTTCCGAGCTTTTGCGTCGAGATGAAAAGTCAGAGGGGTCTTCAGATCAGGACGATGAACGCCTGCTGCCATCCGACATCAGTGTGGTCGACGAGGATACGATTGAGGAGCATTGGCTTACTTTTAGACTTTTAGACTTTAGAACTTTAGACTTTAGAGTCTTTAGCGACTTTAGAGAGCATATCTAAATAAAAGGCGTTCTTGCTGTCTTTTGTGAAGTATTCCGTTGGCCCTAGGCCGGCCCTAGGCCCTAGGCCATGTGGGCAATGTATGTAGGCCCAATGTAGGCCTGAAGCTTGAATAATATTATTATGGTTATTATTTGATTATTAGAGTATTAGAAGAGTCTTACTAGAGTTACTAGAGTTCCTAGAGTGATTAGAGCCTTAGAGCCTTAGAGTCCTAGAGTCCTAGAATCTTAGAGTCTTAGAGTCTTAGAGTCTTGTAGAGTCTTATAGATTATGGAGTCTATTGTCTATAGAATATAGAATTCTAGACTCTAGACTATAGAATATAGAATCTTAGAGTCGTGGAGCCTTGCTTATGTCCTGACCATGGGCCCTCGGCCCTGGCCCTAGGGCAGTCCCGAGGCCCTAGCTTGGCCCTTGGCCTAGGCCCTAGGCTTCGGGACCAAAAACCGCAATACCCCATACTTAATTGGCCTAGGCCAAGTTCACCTGATTTATGTCGGGCCCTATTTTGAGTTGAACCATGCAAAGGAAAGGAATCTCGACCTGGCAGATGAAGCCCCTCAGCTTCGCGATGCAGCTGGTGCTGCTGATGCAGCTGCGGCTGGCGACCCCGTCCCTCCTCGTGATGGAGACCCCGTCCGTCCTCGTGATGGAGACCCCGTCGCTCGTCCTCGTGGCCCTCGTGTACACGCTTCCCCTGCAGACGTGATGTCACAGATGTCGCCCCCAGGGTGTAGAATGTACATCGACTTCAATCAGCATCGCTTTCAGGCCAAGTTTGGTGCTACGAGCGACACGTGGGAGGATGCCGGCATTTTGCGGCAGAAGCATTTTAATAGGACGTTCACTCGTGCAGATTGGCAAGAGAAACTCAGTCAAGTCCATGACTGGGCTTGGCGGAAATGGGAGCTCGCACGTGCAGAGGCAGCCTTTGCTCTTTCAGAAGGCCGAGTGGCCCAGGACCCCGGCCACGTGGCCCCAGCTGTCCTCGAAGCTTTGGAGCCTGTGATTCGAGACATCGGTGAACGGAAGCAGTACAAGAGGGGCGGCTGAGTGAAAATCCTGTGCACTGTCCGCAGATTTGTCTTTCGGTCATGCACAACTTGGTGCGGTGTCGTGATCAGGTATCTCGGCCGGGACCAAGACATTCTCTCGAAACTAAACTTAACTAAACTTTAAAACTTTAAACAGTACTCATTGGTCATTAACCACTATCAGACACTATCAGTATCATTAGTCACTAGGCACGAGTCACTTTACATTGATCATTCCAGCTTTAGCCGTTAGCCATATTGGCTTTTGGCTGTATCCTTAGTTCGTTAGGTCATTGAGTGCTAAAATAAGATGAGATGTGCAGCTATTTCACTTTGTGTCATGAATGCTCGAGGTTGGGACTCAAGAGTTTAAGGCTGTAGTTGTTGCCCATATCCCTATCCACCCAACCTGTTTGTCTTGGCTGTGGCTTGCAATGTTGCCTTTAGCCTTAGCCGGATCCCTGTCGTATCTTTCTTTGTGTCGCCTGGGGCTGGGAGGGTCGCTTGGCTTGCTGTCAGGGTTGGCAGCTTCAATCCAGCTCAAATTTGGCGTTCAGATTGAAATGGCAAGGCAATTGTAGTTATCATTCTACTTGTAGTTCCAGTGCAGTAGCCGAGTAGTTGCTGAGCAGCCTTCTTTTCATTTACTGGAGAATGCTGAGTACAATGAGTCTTTGCCGACGTGTTCCGAAGATGTCCCACTGCCTCAAATGCTTTGCCCAAGCACAACTTGGCTCAGGACACCCCCTGTTTCCAGAATGTGTTTGCGTTGAATCACGAGGAAAGCTTTGTCAAGACTCAATCCCTTCCAAGCTTAATGATGCCCTGTAAGCCTGAAACCTGAAGCCTTGAGCGGCCTTGAGCGTGGAAACAATAACCGCAATAACCTATAACCCAAACAACATTCCGAAACAGTTGCTAACAGCTGCTGCTAACAGTCACTAGTCACTAGTCACTAGTCACTAGACTCACTAGACTAGTCACTAGACTCACTAAACCTTCGCGAACCGCCAACCATTAGCTTCACTATCACTAGCTAGCCCATTAATTCATTAAGCCTCACACACAATTCCTGTGTTGGAGAATCCGTCCGTTGCTTCCTGTCGAGGCTCTATATCAACTTCTTCAGGAAGGACAAGTACTCTAGAGAGGAGGCTTCCTGCTTCAAAAAGATGGTGGAGGCCATCCCAGCAGCCAGAAGTCACGAACCGTAGCCAGGAAAGTTGACTTTCAGTCTGTTGCGTGTTCACTTGAAGAATCACTGTGCAATGCCGTTTGCTGCATCATGACACAGCTTTTGCCGGTCGGAATGTCGGATTTCTGCTGTGAAGGCCATACATGAGCGACAGAAAAGCTTGGAGCCCCTTGCACTGGAGCGCTTGCTCCTCGACAACGATGATCCTCTTCTGTTGGCCGACTTGAAGCAGGAGGAGGAGAAGCCAGTTTTGGGATGTAGGTCCGGTCGTTATCTAGCTGGAGTGCAGCTATTAGAATCTGCTAGAATCTTGCCAAGTTCGATTTCAGCATAAGTCACCAACATTTGCGATTGCAGGGTGTTCGTGGGTTTCAGTGTGTCTTTGTGTGTTTTGTGTTCCTGTGCGCATGTGTGTGTGTGTGTGTCTCTGTGTCTGTGTGTTTGTGGGCCTTTGTCCTGTTCTTTTCCGGTGTGTTTGGGTCAGTGTCTATATTAGTCTATACTAGTCTATACCTGTCTGTCTGTGTAGGTGCGTGGGTATAGTCAGGGTATCGTGGCTAGTGCTGGTGATTCTTGTTGTAAGGTTGTGCTGACTTGAATGACTAGTAACTAGTAACTAGTAAGTAGTAAGTAGTATGTTTAGTGTTCAAGGATTAGTGTGGTGATGTGCAGGTAGTGCGAGGGTGTGGGAGCAAGCATACTTTGGGTCATTTTCCCTTGATGCAAACGAAAACACACACACACACCCGCACACATGGGTACATGCTTGCACATTTAGGTACATAGACATGAGGACATATATATATATATATACACATACTTGATGTACTTTTAGATAGACTGTAGATATAGACATACACAAGTATGTGGTTATATAGAGTCATAGAGTCATACAGGTATACAAACATGGAGATATATGGGTATATAGGTACAGATATAAAGATGTATAGTACAGTATAGATACTAAGAACAGAGACAGTGACAGAGATAGAAATGGAATAAATATAGATATAGATGTAGGTTCAGATACATAGACTCATAGACAAACAGGAAGAGCACAGAAATGCATGGACGGTCTTTTTGTCTGGCGCCACAAGCCGGGTTGGTGGCAGCGGCTGTGCATTTTAGGGTTTAGCTTCTGCCATAAACCGGGTTGGTGGCAGCGGCTGGGCATTGTAGGGTTGAGCTTCTGCCACAAACCGGGTTGGTGGCAGCGGCTGGGCATTTTAGGGTTTAGCTTCTGCCATAAGCCGGGTTGGTGGCAGCGGCTGGGCATTTTAGGGTTTAGCTTCTGCCGTGGGCGGGCCGGAGCTGAGTGCGACTGGGGCGACCGGCAAAGGCCTGGAGCCGGCTGGGTGTGTTGGGCCGGGCCAAAACGGAGGTCTGACACGTTCCTGCAGGGTCAGGGTTTTGGGTGCCATATTTTTTTCGTATTTCTTTTCGTATTGGTGGGCGTATTTTTTTTTGGTATAGGCCTGCAGCAGAGTTTGGCACCTGGTCCTAGGAATACAAAAAAATACGAAAATAATACGAAAACCGGAAAAATACACAAAAAATACGAAAAAATACGAAAAGAATACGAAAACCAATACGAGTCCGTGAGGGAGGGCAGGGCCGGGTGCATGGTTCAGAAATATGAAAAAAATATGGCACCGATGGCCTCCCCCCACCCGAACAGGCCAGGCCTGGAGGGCCGGCCTGGGCCAGGCCTCCTGGGCTGGGCCGGCCTGGGCCAGGCCCCCAGCCAGGCCAGACAAGGGGCCACAGCAAGCCCCAGCCCCAGCAGCCCCGCAGCCCCGCAGCAGCAGCCCAGCAGCCCAGCAGCCCCAGCCCCAGCCCCAGCCGCAGCCCCCAGCCCCAGCCCCAGCCCAGCCCAGCCCGCCCAGCCCAGCCCAACCAGCCCAGCCCAGCCCAGCCCAGCCCAGCCCGCCCTCCCCTTTTTTTGGTGTCGACCTTGCTGCTTTTTCCCCCCTCCCCCCCCGCTCCACAGCCCCTCACCCCACCACACCCCCACCGCACCCCACACTCCACCGCCGCACCACAACACCCACCCCCCCCCCCACCCCAACCACACCACCACCACCACCACCACAATTTGCAGATTTTGCTGCTTCTTTCCCCACACCCCCTGCCACACCCCCCCACCCACCACACCCCCACTACACCCCCCCACACCCCCCACACCCCCCCACACCCCACCCACCACACCACCACCCCTCCCGCCACAAAATGAATTCAACATGTTTTGTTGCTGTGAAGGAATGGAGGGAGGGTGTGGTGGTGGGGGGGTGTGTGGTGGGGGTGTGGTGGTGGGGGGGGTGTGGCGGAGGGTGTGGTTGGGGGTTGGGTGGCAAAAGCAGCAAAAAGCACCTGGATGGTGTGGTGGGGGTGTGGGGGTGGGGCGTGGTGGGGGTGTATGTATATATATATATATATTTCTTTTTTTATATGCAATTGATACAGCCGTTACTTGAGTATGAATCTCATAACCACCCCAGACTCCAGTCCTGCTTCTCAGGAGGCAGTGCGCCGTACTGCAACGCATGAGGGCATGCAAAAGTGGGAGGTGCAGCTAGCGGACTGGCGGAATCGTTCGGACATTTCGGATTCTGTCAATGTGCTTGGAAAACTGAAGAATATGAAGCTTTGTGGTTTGCAGAAGAACAAACGGATCATGGCAATCCTGAACATGGCAGTGCTTCAGAAGCTGAAGCCCGTGCACAGAAAGTCAAGTACCCAAGTGCATCAAGTCAAGAAGGCATGCAAGACTCTCGTTGTCAACGTAAGCCAAAATCCCAGCCGTGGCAACCTCTTGACTCCCGACAGTGGCTGCAATCACACGTTGTGCAGCTCCTCCTTGCAGATCCATTTGGGTTTGCAAAGATTGATTACGGCGCGAGAGATGATGTATCAGCACGGCCATCCTCGACACATGGTGGTCCCCAGCGACATGTCGCTGCGCAGCCTCCGACAGCTGGCGGGGCAAGGGATGGCTTTGCCAAGTTTGGGCACCTGCTTGTGGTGCCACAGCATTCTGAAGGCCAACAGTGGCAGAGTTTAGGTTTGGATTCGAGCGGCTGTCCTCATGTGGAGTTGTACTTATATTCTACTTGGACTTAGATTCGACTTAGATTACTTAGATAAAGATACTTACTAACTCGATTGGTTTGCTGCTGCTTTGCCATCTTTGCTCGCGGCAGTAATTGGAAATGGCAGGTATTGGTAGTAGTGCCGCTAGATTCTAGATTCTAGATCACTAGATTCTGCTAAATCTGCTAAATAGATGATAGATGTCTTGGTACTGGTAGTGATGGTAGTGATAGTGTACCTGGTAGTGACTGGTAGTGGTAGTGGAAAAGTCTCGTAGTGGTGGCAGCATCGTCATGGTCATAGCAACCCTAGCCGCCTAGTCCTAGTAGCCCTTGTAGATTGTAGTCGTAGCACTAACATTTCCTAATAGTGACTAGCCTCTCAGTCCTAAGTAGTAAGTAGTGATCATCTTTGCTGATATGTGTGCAGTAACCATGCCAGTCGCATCATCCCCGTTCTCGTGATCATGCTGGCAATTAAGGATGAACGACTTAGCGCACTGGCATAGACTCGGCCAGCGGCTAGCAGCAGCTAGCGGTGCTATTAACATACTATCCTGTAAAGATCCGATTATGAGTGTCAGCTGCGGCAGCTGCAGGTGCTAGTAACTGCTACTGCTAGTAAAGTAACCCAATGCTAGTATTGTTACTACCATGGAGTTCTTGCTATTAAAATTATTCCTTTGTGTTACCATGGCTGCTCCTGCTACTACTACTACTACTAATAATAATAATGATTGTTTTGATCCATGGTACATGAGTTCAGCCCCGGCATAGCAGTGTGGAGTCGCCAGACTCCTGGTGGCATACCGATCTCAGTTTTTTCGGTGAAATTTCGAGCTGCAGCAATGCAGGCAGTGTTGCTGTTTGGAAGGAAGCAGCAAGCAGGCAGAACCAACTTGTTTTTTGTTTCACAGCTTGCAGTCTCCACTGCAGATGGAGCAGGCAGCAGTAAACTAGTTATTTAGATTGACACAGACGACACGGATAGCAGCTGCACAGCCAAGGGTGGGGTTTAGAGCCCCAGATGTGGCAGGCTGGGCCGAGTTGTGTACAGGGTCCAACAGATTCTGTCTTAGGCACTAGTCACTAGACTAGACAGGTTGCAGATGGGGTGGATTTTTGTTGCCGGCGTCCTGGGGTTCGTGTCGTTTCCTGGTCCCGAGGCTTGGCTGCTTGGCACGTGTACAGTGTAGTTACAATGTAGTTTTGGGTCAGAAGCCGAGCAATCCCGCAGAGGCAGGCAAAGACAGGCTATTCCAGCGTCGTCATTCGGTCTCTACACTGAGGTAAAGTGACAGGCGTAGGGGTGTAATAGGTCTCCAAATGTGCCGTTTCGGTAGTCCCATCAATCAAGCGCAGCAGATAGATTCCAATGTGTTTTTTCCTGCTAGGCTTCTCGCCAAGGATTGCAGCTAGCGGCCCTAGCAGCCCTAGCAGCTACATTGTGGCAGTTCCCAGCTAGACAGCTAGATGCAGCTATAGCCGCTGGTGTGCAAAACACTAGCACGAGCTGCCATGGAGCAGAGATCTGCTTAGAATACTGTTTCGGCACTGGGACCCTCACGATGTTCATGAACAGGACCGTTCAGAGCCGTAGTATTGAGTATTCGGCCCAACAATAAGCCTGCAACATTCTGCAGCAGATTATCACATCACGACCTGGATGTGGTTGGGGTGTCCTCTGCAGCACAGTGCCATAATTCGGGTCAAACGTGCGGCATATGGTCAGTGACAGTGAAAGAAGGTGAGCTTTCTATTGCAAACTTGTCGTCGTCGCCTGCTTGGTGACAAGTGTGATGTGCAAAGTCCACGGTGTCCAGAGCGGGTTCGTGCTGTGGAACCATGGTCAGTTTAGTCAGTTTGTCCTTGCTCTATGTGTACGTAGCATTTGCCGAGTCCGATCAGCGTTGCGACCTCTTGCAGACTCTTGAGTCTTGCATTCTCCAGCATGGGGAAATCCGTTCCTGCTGTGATGAAGAAGAAAAAGGCTCTGCCTAAGAAAGAGGCGACCGAGCCGAAAGCGAAGGCCAAGAGCAAGGCCACAGCGAAAGTGAAGGCGAAAGCGAAGGCCAAGTCGAAGTCGAGATCCGCACCGGCAGCAGCTGAGTCGTCCAAGGAGCTGGGTTGCTGCAGCTGTGTAGCTGTGTAGGAGTAGCTGTAGCTAGCAGCATCCATAGTCCATAGTCGTAGTCACCATCGTGTTGGCATCAATACAAAATGTGTCAGCTACGGCAGCTATGACGACGTAGTACTAGTTACAAGTATTGCAGTGTAGCAGATATATGGTCCGTGTCGTTTCCAGTGTCTTTGCCTTGATTTGGTTTACCTACCTACTTGTTGTGTTCTCTCCCGAACCCCTAGCCCATTTTCCTTTAACAATGAAACAGAAGAGACGACTTGTTACATTCGTCGTCCAATTCTTGAAAGCATTTTTCATTTCAGTTGGAAACACACACACACACACACACACATGAGCCGGGTTTCAAGCCACCCTGGTCCTGGTCCTAGTCACCTAGTCAAGTCCTCGTCAGTCACTAGGCCTAGTCACTAGGCACTAGTCAAGTCATACTCGTAATTCGTCGTTGATTACTTTCAGCTTGCTTTTTTGCAGCAGTGGTTTGGTGCATGTCTGTCAGGCATCGAAGTGCACCGCGGTTGCGAACCCTGCACCTGCTCCTTCGATCAGATCGACCAAGAGCAAGAAGAGCCAGAAGAGCGTCATCAAGAACAATGTCAAGGGTGCGAACAAGCCTGGGCAGAAGAAGTGGTCCCCATGTGCGGTTTGTGCTCGGACCCCGCAGGACGTGCACATGTAATGCACACGCCATGTATGCTTTCAGTTTTAGCGAAGATTTGAGCGAAGGAGTTCCAGGCCATCTAATTATGGCGGCATTCAATGGATTGTCATGGTCAGTGCATGCCTTGTTGGGTGTATGACAAAAGTAGGGCTTCTGGCTTCTGGCTTCTAAGTTGCGGTCATAGTCGTAGTGATAGTGGCTGATAGCGATTGATCTGATAGATTGGTCAGATAGCGCAGTGTAGTGTAGTGTAGTGTAGTGATGGTCATAGTCATAACATTATCCTGACATAGTGCTGGGATTCACAATTGCATCGGTGGAGTACGGTTGGGGGTCGTTCATGGTTTGAGGAAGAAGCCAAACCTGGCAGGCAGGATTGTATGGGGCAAAGGTGTTGTGCCAGTGGTGTAGTGAGTGTAGTGTAGTGACTTGACTAGTGACTAGTGACTAGTGCGGTGAGTGTAGTGTACAGTGTAGTGGGTACAGTGAGTGCAGTATTTCGGCCATCATTGGGAAGGTTGGGCAGCAGAGTTTACCAAGCCTGTCAAACAAGATTGTGATGAAGTGAATGATTTCGAGCATAGTACGGCATATTACAAGACGAGACTGACTAGAATCATTAGGCTCTTGGTTGGTAGAGTCTACAATCTAGAACAGTTAGAATCCAGTTAGAAAGCAAACAGTCAGGCTACGTTTTGGTAAAGTTGCTCGCCGGTTGATCATTGTTTGCTTGCAGAAGGCAAACCAAGTAGGCAGTCAGCCAGGATTGGGGCAGAGTTCTGGGGCACTTGTTGCAAAAAGGGGTAGCAAAAGGCCATCCTAGCCATCGTAGCCGCCCTTGCCGTGCCATCAGTAAGCTTTGAAACTTTAAGTCCTAGATATATGTAGTTCTGTAGCAGCACTTAGTGAAGAATTAGTTCCTTTTACCCCGAGCAGTATCAGTACTTGTGACCATCATTGTCATCAGAATGAGTATTGCATCCTTTTGTCATTAGCAGCAGCCAGCCATTGGTTGATGAAAACAGGTTGCAAATATGGATGGAAATATGGAATAATGCATGAACGTTCCGTGCCATGAATTGTTGTTGGGTTACGTGTGCAGTAACCGCATCTGGATCAGTTGTCGGATCATCAGGGTCTGGCTTCGGGTTCCTTGGCCACGAAACTACAACCTTCCTCAGTTAACAGTTAACAGCTATGGTGCTAGCTGCTAGACTGCTAGTCTGCTAGTCTCTGCTAGACTGCTAGACTAGACTCTAGAGTAGAGCAGCTAGAGGTAGACTAGACTTGGCTGCGACAGGACCTCCCCGATGATGAACGTTGGGGTGCCGTGGACAGCGCAGGCAATGCCGTTGGCGATGGATGTGCCCTCTGTATGACGACAGTCCTGGAGGGCTGGCCCAATGAGACTTGGGTCGAGTTCCAGGAGATTTACCACAACCCGGAGGAGAAGGTGCGCAAGCCGGCCTTCAAGGCCGCGCGGGCAGTGCGGAAGAAATTGGGCATCATGTCCTTTCGCTGGAGCCCGCCGTCTTCCGTCACGAGCTCCGTTTGCAGGGCACGGAAAGTGTTCTGTGACGTCGGCTTCTTATCAGAAGCCGAAGTTCTGAAGTACTTCAAAGTCACCGCCAAGCAGCTGGGTTTGACCATGTCGTCGTTGCAGCTGGAAGACAGACGTGAGACCCTTCGAGGGTATTACGTATCGTTGGCAGGTGTTCCGGCCAACGTAGTGGATGCCTTGAGAAGGGTCCGGCTGTCGTGGAAGGTCAAAGTTGAGCACTCAGCTTTGAGGCTGCAGCCAGAATCGCAGATCCGCCAAGAGCAGGGAGCCTTGCTTTTCCAGCACTTCTCCGACCAGCAGTTGGAGAAGGCCGACACTAAGGTGCGTACCGTCAACCGTGCAAAGCTGGTGAGCTTCGAGTCGCTATCGCTGAAGGGCCAGAGCATCGTGCAGGTGCTTTGATCATTGTCAAACTTGAATGACATGCAGTCCTTTCTGCAGGATCTCTTGGTTGTAATTTCTTCGTACATTGTCGAAGCGTCACGAGCAGGATGCTGATGGGGGTAGCATGGGGTAACTAAAGTGAATGATAAAGATGACGAGGCTGATGGAAACAATGGTGATGATGATGACGATGAGGGTGGCCGATACCCGACATCCTTGAGTACTTGTGCTTTCTTCCGAGGAGGCCGTAGCAGTAGCAGCAGCAGCACTGGTCACTGGTCAGTCACTAGTCACTAGTCACTAGTCACTAGTCACCAGTCAGTACATAACTAGTCGGTAGCAGCAGTAGTAGTAAAGTAGTAGTAGTAGTAGTAGTCGTCGTCGTCGTCGTAGTAGTAGGAGTAGTAGTAGTAGGAGTAGTCGTAGTAGTAGTAGTAGTAGTAGCAGCAGTAGTAGTAGTAGTAGTAGTACTACTACTACTACTACTACTAGTAGCAGTAGCAGTAGCAGTAGCAGCAGCAGCAGCAGCAGCAGCAGCAGCAGCAGTATTAGTACTAGTAGTAGTAGCAGTAGTAGCAGTAGTAGCAGTAGTAGTAGTAGTAGTAGTAGTAGTAGTAGTACATTTCACTGATCATTATCACATTAAACCATCGGCGTGACCAACAAGAGGACTAGCAACGCAGTCATACATCACGAATCATTACCTGAGTAGTTCTACTTGCCACTCCAACACCAAGACCGTTGCATTTGCTTTGTACCAAATGTACCAATGTACCGTCTACGTAAGTCGTGTACTACTTACTTTGCTACTGCTACCAGGGATTCTGTCACTAGCAGCACCAATGTGACGGTTTTTAAGCCAGCTAGTCGCTAGTGGTCAATCATTAATGAAGTTGCCATTGCCAGTTGCCATGACCACTACCACCATCACTGTCGTTGTATGCTAAACTATTTTCGCGGGCATCTTCCTTGTGTCCACTTTCAGCTTGAACTCACCCAGTAAGGCTTCAGTAAGGACCCAGCGCATTCTGTTTTCACATTGCATACCTCGACTTGGACTCTGACTTCTACATTGGAGTCGATCTACATCGTTTTTCACAACATAAGATGTCAGATTTAACACTTTAAGAATCAGATACACACACCGTGTCGTGTTGATGCAGGGGCAGCGTGCAGAGGAGGCTGCGGCCGACGAGCAGGCCGACGACCAGGAAGGGGAGGACGGGGAGGAAGAAGTGATGGAGGATGATTTGGAGTTGCGTCCCGACACTCTGCTACCCGCCAGCTTCAGAGCGGCTCCATCCCACGGTGATGCTTTCATGGAAGATGGTGCTGAGGCCCCGAAGAAGAAGAGACGGGCTGCCAAAGCCAAGGCTGAGGCTGCTGACGAGGAGGAGGATGACGACGGGGTCCTGGACAGTGGATCCAGTGATGTTCCGCAATGGATGCAAAAGGACACCTGCCTTCAGAAGGTGATCGGCAAGCTTGGCAAGGTGCCCAAGTGCTTCACAGCTTTGGATCCGCAGAAGAACTTGGACCCCACGAAAAGCCCTGTCGGCCGACAGCTGCGAGGGGCCATGCCAGTCCAAAGTATCAGCTTAATGTTTTAAGGGTTCCTTTAGCTCAAATCAGTTTAGTGGTCACGGTATATCTCTAGGACTTTAGGACTATAGGTATAGATAGTATAGGCTGTATGGCATCGGCCAGCCAGCCGCGGCTAGCCAGCTATCCTTTGAAGTGCAAAGTGTGGCTCTCGCGTGTCGAATGTAGATGCTAGACTCCTAGACCTAGACATGCAAGACCGAGAAGCAATTGCAGGCACGAGCCGTCTTGCAGTCTATGGAGGCCCAGAGCCAGAAAGAAGCATCTCTGTTGAACTCACGCTTGCGCCTGCTGGAGCATGTCGAGGCTCTGGCACACACGCCGATTGCAAGCATGACTCGGGCACAGGTCCGGGCCCACGTGACAGCAGTCGTCGATGACAGCCTGCAGGTTCCAGCGAGCCTGAAAGTCAGGCTGCTGGAGAGGTGGGCCAACCACTTGTTCTTTGACATGGCGGAGTTGAAAGATGCTTCCAGTGCGGAGTTCAAGAAAGTCTTGGACGCCTACATGATCACCGTGTGTGCCTTCATTCCACCGCCTGACGACATGGAGATCACGGACTTGAACCTCACAGCAGCTGTGCTGTGGGAGGCAGGCAAGGAAGAGGTGGACTACAAAGCCAAGATCGGTTCCGCGACACAGGAAGAGCGGGCAAAGATGCTTGCAGAGACCCAGCAGGCGACAGATTGAACTTTTGATTTTCGTCCTGTAGGGAACCGGAAGGATAAAATCTTTATTTATCTTTTCGCTCGACGGTTTTATATTCTTTATAAAACCGAGTGCGCGTTCATTTCTGCTTTCGCTCATGTTAAGTCAGTGCTGTTCTGCAGTTGCTGATTTGATTCTTTCCGTTGCCCCTTATCTTCAAGGGACGGGGGGGTGGGAAACCTACATTCTTCGGTATGAGCAAAATTGCTTGTCCCGCCCACCCTCACCTTGTTTCGCAGTAACAGCCACACCCTGTGCCCTCCTTGGGGGCAGCTTTCTTGGGCTGTGCATGTTCACTGCTTGAAAGACCGAGAACCCCTTAGCCCTTTCGAGTGAAAACGAAGGTACGTCCGTCTCTGCTTGTGTTTACGGGCTCCGCCCATCTCGCACGGGTGGTCCCCGCCTCGCGCACGTTCGATATGATAAATAAGTTATCTTTAAACCCCATATAAGTCTGTCCGGCAAGTTTCCTCTCGTACCTTGTTATGTTATTGTGCAAGTTGCCGCATGTGTGTGCAGAATGCATAGGTCGGCATACGTCCGAGGTCCCAGTCATCATAATTCTAGTTACTAGTTCTAGGACCCTAGGATTCTAGGTCCTAGGTGAACATTTTTAAATATAGCAGTAGCAGCTGTTGCCTGCCCTGTGTGAATGTGGCAGTCCAAATCTTTTCTATTGAATGTGCTCGCATGTTTTCGGTTTCTTCAGTACCAGGGAAGTCTTGTTGAAGCTATCTATACATGCCATAGATTGCCCTCTAGATTACTCTAGACTCTAGACTCTAGAGACTCTAGATTCTAGATTAAAACCCAAATGACTGGAACCAACCCTGAAGTCAGGCATGTGCCGATGCAGTCATGGAGGGCCTCTTCTGTGACATCTTTGTCAAGATGGTGAAGGATGTCCATCTCCACAAGGACAAACTCTTGAGGGTCCTTTCCTGCTTTCTGCAGAACTACACGGACGAGGAGAGGGAGCTCTTGGACAACAAGGAGGCATTGCAGAGTGTCTACGACCGCTTCCGGGACGCCTCCTTCGCTTTGGTTGCCCTCCTTTGCCCCGAGCCGGACTACCTCGGGTCCACTGCCACGCACGTCAACAATTTGATGAAGTATCGGGGTGACTACCGTCCGGGATCACCTCGTGCGCAAAGGTGACAAGGAGAACCCGAACTTGTGGACCAAGTGGTACGATGACTTCTTGGCCAAAGGTGAAGAAACATCGAAGCTTTGGCCCAAACTCAAAGAAGTTCACGTGAGCTTGGACAGCATGATGGCTTCGGACGAGCCGTTGACGTTTGATGTTGCAAGGTTGGTGACCATCGTGCAAGACCTCCCGCAGATGAAGAAGTCTATGAGGCCGGGTGTGTGCAAGGATGCATTCCAGAAGTTGCTGTCGGTGCTCAAAAGCTTCGTGACTGCAGTGGTGAAAACCAAAGCAGGCGAGATCAGCTTGGGAACGTCGGCTGTGACTGCCTTGCAAGCCGGTGTCACCTTGTTCCCTGAGGATGCTAACATGACAAGACTCGGTGAGCATTTGCAGAAGTTCCGGAAAAACTCGGAGAAGGAGATGGCTCTCACAGAACTTCTTAACATTTGCAAAAGCTACCCGACGGACTATCAGGCACCCATGCAAGGCAACATCGGCCCGTTCCTCGATGCCTGGAAGGCTTGCCCAACGGACGTGAAGAATGCCTTGCAAGGTCCTGATTTGGATGTGCTCAACAGCGCCATCTGTTGGATCTACCGTGTTGTTGCCGACCTCTTTCGGGCAACACGGCTGCTATGCTCAAGCTGCTAAAGCGTGGGTGTGTAATTCAGATACTTTGCCAGGACATGTCAAGTCATGAATCATTGGAGTCCAGGCATCGCCCATGGTGTTCACGCCTTCCTCACATTCCGAGGGCTAATTCCTAGGGCCTAGACTAGTGACTAGTGACTAGTGACTCTAGTGACTAGATTCGCCGAGGCATAGGGAAGTATATACTTGTATACTTGAGATACTATTGAACTACGGTGGCTAGCTATATGTGATCAATCTAGGGAGCAAAACACAAGTTGCACAACATTTTCCAAAGTCTCAGCAAGAGTTTCACCATGCAGGTATAGGACAGGTAAAAGGCGGCAGAAGAGCCAAGAAGCCGACAGGGAACCAAAAGCAAAGTGAAGACCTCGTTACAAGAAAAGGACCTGTAGGAAGTAGGAAGGTCCAAGACTCCTTTCGGGGCTGGGAGCACTGTACATAGCAGACATAGCAGATGTAGAAAGTCAGGTATTTTTTCGAAGGGCGTTGTACAGTGTACAGACACAAAGCCCAAATAAGGAAGAGGGTAGAAGTTCAGCTAGGACCTAGGAAACAAACCCAAGTTGATTCTAGGTTCTAGATTTCGGAGTCTGCAGGCAACCCAGGCGGGGGCAGCGATCCAACCGAGTGTGGTGAACGGTGCCAACAAGTTGTGCACCATCGTCCATGAATCCATGCACCCCATCAAAACTTGGTTAAGCACAAACCTGCAGATGATCATCCACACCAGCGATTTCCTCGTCGCCTTCCGGGCATTGATGGACAGCGGAGAGACAGCCACAGCCAGGATGGAAGGTGACGTCGGCATGGCTAGGCTGGACGCGGTGCTCAAGGCAACTAAGCGAATGGACCTCTCCATGAATGCCGCAGCCAAAGCCGCCGCCGAAATGTCGCCAGAGTTGAGTGAGGAGTACAATGCGGTCATGTTCTTCGATTGCCAGGCCTTCTGTCGTGCTGCGTTGTTCAACAGTGACCTCCAGGACATCTTCGATCTCAGGGTGCATCATTTCACCGAGACCTTGACGGAGCTCTGTGCCGCCGTCGGGAGGTGCACGAAGAATTACGGCAGTCAGACAGAGGAGAGCTGGAAGTATTGCATCAAGGAGGATGCGAGCTTGGAGGAGGTGCTTAGCGTAGCCGCCAAGACCATCGACACCATCGACGGCAAGGAGACCTTGCGACTTTCCGATGAGTTGACCGAGGCGCGGGGACAGAGATTGTTGGGAAGACGTGTCGAAGTCATTTGCGAGTGACTAACTAAAGTTTCCAAAGATTCTAATTATAGATTATAGATTCTAATTATTCTAATTCTAAAGTTCTAATTCTAAAGTGCACGGTGCAGGCTGTCATCATTTCATTCTTGGTTCGAGACTCTAACTCTAGACTCTAGACTAGACTCTACTCTACACTACAGACTCCTAGACTCAAAGGTCTAGACTCCGAAGATTCTAGATTCTAGATTCCAGACATTCTAGACCCAAGAATCTAGATTCTAGATTCTAGATTCCACAAAAGGAAACTTCCGACTTTCGTTTACACAACACATCGATCGAGGTACACTGTGCAGGATACATATGTGCATGTCTACGAGTCTACGACTACATGGCACAAAAAGCCGAAAATTCTTGTTTGGAACATGGCATTGGCAACTTCAGCTCCCACAGCTGGACTCCAGCATAGTACGAAAGCTAACCGTGTTGACCCATGAAGTTTGGTTGCATTACAAGTGACGTCGGCTGTGGCTATGGCATCCAAGTGGGTGCTGATGCTTTCTTTGGCAAAATTGTGAGTTTCGTGCTTCAACATGTGGGGCATTGTGTGGACATTCGCTTCGGCACCGTGACATTTGTTGCACTCAGATTGCTTAAGCAAGCCCTCGATCTTCAAAGACATATCGATTTCATCAGGCCTTGGATGCCGCCAAAACTTTCATCGACAAGTCCTTTTTCCAGCACGCGGGCCTGATGGAGCTCATCGGAAGAGCGAAGGTGGTGCAGGACACAGCGAGGGCCCTTCGCTGCGAAGGGTTGCTATCTTTCGCCTTGCAAGTGACCAGCAATAAGCAACGAAAGTTGGCGATTGTGCGCAGCCAGCTGGGTGATGTCAGTGGCAAAGCTGTGAAAGAGTCCCTCATCCTGCCGCAACTGTTGGAAGCGGCTCGTGCAGAGGTCAAGTGATGTCGAAACATCATTTGCCCCCGTGCGGAATGCAGTTAGCTGTATCATTTGCAGTGTCAGTTTCAGCATAAAACGTGACCTTCCAGGCTATTAGCTGCTGTGCTTTGGGCTTGTGAGCCACTTTATAATGCAGGCACATAGAGACTTAGAACTTGCAACTGCTGGTGATGCAATCTGCAACCCCGCCGTCTTTTTTCGACAAGAGGCACTTGTGTGCTCAAGACTTTTAATTTTAAGACTTCCCAGACAGCTGTGAAGCCAAGCAGCTAAGCCATTAAGGCCTGCTTGAGGCCCAGGCTTGCAGGCTGTTGTACTGTACTCCAGGCTCCACATTGCTCGCTCTTGAGTGGTGCTCGAAAGTCCGAGCCGCTTGAAACACTTGTGCGTGGGCAGTGCTTGAAACACAGCGGCCTCGATTCAGGGACCGAGTGATTTATGAATTATGAGATGCAATCAATTTGTAGTCACTATTCTGATATGATTCATTATCTTCGATGGGATGCTATGTATATACACTGATAAACTCAGGCAGGTGTGAGATTGCCGCTTCGTGACAGAAGCACGGAAATGCTATGAAATTGTATCAATCTGAAATCTTTACAGATTTTTCTTGAGATTGCGGCATTTGATATATGCAGAGATGTTTGATTATGGCATTTCGAGCGATGCACGGACAACTTGTCAGCTCATTGTGATTTCAACGTCCAATGCACAGCTGAGCAGCCTCTTCTTGAGAACTGGGGGCCCAAAGCAGTGGTAGTGGTGATGACTGAGATGGTGATGGCGGTGCAGGTGGTGGTGCTGCTGCTACTGTTGCTGCTTCTGAAACTGCTGAAGGTCAGGGTGAAAGATGCGGGAAGCGGTGATGCTGGACCGATGGGTTTGAATTGTTCACGAGCTTTTGTGGTGCTAATTTAGTTTCATGCTAATTTCTAGCCAGTCCCATCAGAATCAGTGTCAAAGTGGTGTAAAAGTGTGAAACAGCCCCGGTAAAAGTATGCAAGCAGGGACGTGTCACTATCCGAATGTATTATAGTGTACCAGAACTACCCATATTGTAACGGTGTTTTCAAAGTGTATTTTTTTTTGTATTTTTTCGTATCTGTTATCATGGGCCATAAGTACAATCGTATTTCCAGTTCGTATTTTTGTCGTATTTTTTTCGTAAATAAATAGAACCCATGGAATGGCGTTTCTAAGGCTTAAAGAATGTCTCAACTCTACGGGTTTTTCCGGGCTCGTTAATGAACCCGCCAAACCGTCAAAAACTGTGGGCCACTCCATCGAGACGATTTCAACAGGAGTTGCATTTTGCTCCTACGGTTATTGCCGAAATCATGTGGGCACAATGAATGGCGCTAT